ACTAACTTAAATGATGATGGGCATCTGTGTCCAAGTGGGACTTGGCTTCAGCTGGAGCCCAGGTGGCTGAAGGCACTTGATGTGATGAAAGGGATCAAACTTCTTTGAGGCTAAATGTGAGTATTATCTGCGCTATAAATAGTTGTTCTGAATTGTGTTTCTAGACCGCACCACTTAAGTGCCATGCAAGCAGCACGAGCAGCTCCTCCCTTTTCCCTGGGGAGCTGGCTGTTGTATGAGCTTTCTGTTAAACTCCCAGGCTTTGCAGTATGGAGGCTTATGTTGATTTCTGGCATAAGAAATTACAACTGTTTATATAATGTAGGTTTTTGGTACAAACCAGTTTATTCTTAATTAAGATGAACTACTTTGGGTTACAAGGCATAGTCTGGACATCGGAGTTGTTGATGCCAGTCTTTCCTGGCACTGTGTGTGTAGTGTGACCATACTTAGGTGGTGTCTAGAACAGGTACGGTGCTGAGTTCTCTGACTGCTGCAAAAGAAGGCACATTTAAGGTTCATCTGGTGTTGGAGGTACAGCTTGCTGGGCCCAAACTCAGCATACAAAGGCAGTTTGTGTAGCCATGATCACGGTTTGTGTGGCCTCTGCTCTGGGGGATCAGTGGTACCTGTTGGACGATGGGAGAAACCAACAGCCCACGGGCTGCTTGGCTATGCATTTGATCTCACTGGCTTCTGCATGGAGAAACTCACAGCTCATTCTGGGCCTGTTAGAAAAATGACATTAATGTCAGGATCTGCTTCCATACAGTTACAGGTAAGTGAAATTAAGAAAGGGAACTGATGTAGGCAGTGATTTTCTTACAGGTAAAATGGGGACAGTCACTTGGCATGTTTTTCAGCTGTCCCAAGGGGTTGTCACAATGACTTTGAAGTCACTGAAAGTCTCCTCTCTGAGCTGACAGAGCGAGGCTTAGTCTGGAGCAAGGTCTTTGGGGAATAGCAGCGTGGGTGCAGATGGCTCCGTGGCCGCTGTGAAGTGCGCGTATCGGTAAGTTGGCAGAACAGCTGGACACCTATGAGCTGGCTGCGGAAGGTAGAGCTTGGAGGGTTGTGAGAGCAGCTGAGGGTGTCCACTGTAGCTTAGAGCACCAGACTGTGAAAACCTGAGCACTGATAGTTTTGATAGTATGCAGCTGTACGAAACATCCTGCTGATGCAAGAAGTCCATGGAATTTCCAAGGTCTTCAGTTACCTCTGAATTTTTGACTCTGATTTGAATTTAGTGTGCTGGGTATGTAATCCCTAGTTAAAGAGCAACTGGATTCTGCCTTTATAAAGCAGCGATGCATCAGCAGTTACATTGTAAGCATGTATGGCTTAGCAAGGAAAGTGTAAGAAATGAAGGAGCAAAGCTGTACTTGCCATTGGCTTGCTTTATTCTGTCGTGGATCCGAAAGACCAGGATGAGCAGAAATCCTTCTCCAAGCTGGAACAGCAAGTAGAGTAGTGGGAAGAAGTACAGGGGGCCAATGATCTCTGGGGCGAAGGCGACCTTGAGGATAGCTGAGCCAAGCTGTACGTTCTGGCAGCCAGTTTCCATGCACACTGTCCGCCTGCACCTGAAGGAAAAAAAATAGATTACAGATTTAAATTGATTTCAAACAATTGAAACAGAGCCCTACCCACCTTGCTGGTGCACCTGCCTGTGGCTAAAAGCTGCTCTGTCAGGAGCAATACTGCAATCCCTAGAAGGTTTTGCCTCCTGCTCCATTGGCAATGGGCAGAGACAGATCGTGTTACAAATGTGAACTTTGTTCACAATGGTATCAGAGGCCTTGTGTCCAGCTCTGGACTCTGCAGCTTCCTGCAGGGAAGTAAGGAGGGTGGTAGGAGTCTGAATTATGAAGGTATAAAATAGGACTAAGAGGATTCCTACCTGGTTTATGTAGCATGAGGAGAAAAGGAGGAGCAGGTTTTATATGTCAGGTTTTCATTCTAAATTCCTGGGGCTGCAGCTGAGAATGCACTGACTGATTTGAGGTAGTAGTCAGCTGGGGAATAATCGTGTCACTTGGGGTTTGAGCTCTGTTGGTATTTCTCAGTTTTTTGGGTTTGGGGTTTTTTTTGGTGCTAATAATTTTCCCTCCAGCTTCATTACCAAGGGCAGAGGGTGGTAATATGTTTAGCAGGTCACTAGTGACCTTAAGCCAAAACCATCCATCCATCCACTTGTTCAGTAAACTTTCCATGGTGATCAGGTGCCTGTGCCAGAAACACCTGCTTAGCTATTCCTCTCCTCTCAGTTAAACCATGCAGAGGTTAAAGTAATTTCTCTTTCACTCAAGCTGTGGGAGTCACTGGCTTGGGACCAGCTTGTACTTTGTCTGGTTGTATTTCTAGATCCTATTTTGGGTGAATAGGGTCAGTGTTCTACAGAAGTATATTCCTAAAATTCATGTTTTCACCATTGCTCCGCAAAGCAGAGCTGCCAAACATCTCTGTTCCTGATGAGAGAGAGGGGGGAGGGAGGTGTGGAAGAGCCATACCGGTCATCAAGCTTGAAGGCTGCAGAGACAGCATAGCCCAGCAGGAATCCAGTGAGCGGCATTAAGGCAGAAGTTCCCAGGAGAGGTGGTGAGAAGACAACCATGATACAGCTTCCCATATTGGCCACAGACAGAACAATTATAACAGCAGATGACAGTAGAAGCATAACCATCCCTGTCTAAAATAAAAGAGATTGAGGTGTGGACAAGAGAGAAATCCCCAGCAAAATTTGCCTCAGCTGTTAGAAGCAGCTGTACCCAGTTCTTTGTCCATCATGTGAAGTACACAGCAGGCATAGGTGCCTTTCATGGACATAAATGTTATCAGTAATCAACAAGAGACCATCCTGGGCTAGTACTGAGAGAGACCTTAAATAACCAAATACCTTTCTAGTCTGTGTGCAAAATGACTGCTCTTGCTGCACAAGCTGCTTGTTTCTCAGGCATTGCTACTTGTCTCTGTCCAGGTCCCTTTGTGGCTCTAGTCTACCCCAAGCAGGTACTGAGGAAACCACTTTACTCACAGCTAGAGCCTAGTGGAGTTCTTGAGTTAGACAATTGTGTATCTGGTTGTCTGGATTTCTGTTTTACTGTTTAAATGCCTGATGTATAAAGGAGGCAGGGACATGATTCCAGGCATAAATGGGCACTTGGTGAAACAGTGGCCTCTGTTGGATAGGTATCTCAATGATTTAAGCAGGAATTTTTTGATTTGATTTTTGTCTTGTGCTAGACCTCTGAGAACAGACCTCTGTGATGATTTTAATTTGTTTTGGGATAGTTATTGTTGTTTGGTTGATTTTTTTATCTGAGTTCTGCTTTGGTAGCAGCAGTAGTTTGGGGCAGTGCCTATGAAGTTCTTTAGTGCTGATGTAGCAAAAAATTCCCAAAGTTAAAACTGAAGCAAAAGGAGAGCAATGTAGGAAGTTGGCTATAAAATCTCTGCCTGGAAAAGATGGAGGACTTTTCCTTGGGCAAATATTTTAACCATTAAAGTGGTAAAGTGGATTTCTTGAGCTCTAGGCTCAACCCTTTCATTGATTTGTGGCATGTCTTAGAGAAGTTAATATGTCTGTGATTCTAGTTTTGAAAACTTCCTCAAGGCCCTTGATTGAAAGGCAACTAGCACAGGATACTTCTTACCTTGGTGATAAGGCCAGTGTACTGTGGTTTTTTCTCATTCAAGATGATGCCGATGGCACAGGGGATTAGCATCAGCACCAGGGAGGTGATTATTCCTTTGTAAGGTACCTTGCCCTCCAAATCACCCTCATACAGTCCTCCCGAGTAAAGGTACAGAAGCAGTGGCATTAATCCAGTTGCCAGGACCATGGAGCATGCAGTCATTACAACACTGAGATGAAGAAAGGACCCCTCAGTAGAAGAGCAACACTTTTTAAAAAAATGGAGTATGCTAATCTGATTACTTCCCTGGACAGATGATTTTAATAGAAGACTTTACCTTGCTTTTTCCCAACTTGTCTCTAAGATCTCCCCAACATCACTGTCAGATTGTAGAAGGATGTGATATGAATGGAGAAGGGAGAGGATGACTCAAGTTTCATACATGGCTGAGAACATGTACACACATACCCATGACAAGGGTACAGTTCACATTTTAGAAACTCACAACTGAGAGAAAAAGTAATACTTTGTATTTTCCTGCTTGATCTTGTTTTATCACTAGGGTTTGTTGGAGAGCAGTGTTCTGCTTGTTCAACATCTCTCACTGATGCAGCCTCTTCAGGCAGCATGATCAGTTTACACAGAACTGCATATATAGACACATATATATATAGAGAGATGCTCTATGTACTGCTACGTGGAGATAAAAAGGTATTCCTGCACCCATGTCATCAAGAGCAGCATGCTAACGATTCAGAGAAAGGTACCCATTGTAAAACAGGGACAAATTAACTTACTGAGCAATATGGGTGCTTTACAAATGTTTTGGACTTAGTATTTCAGTCTTTGTCCAGCTTCTTGAGGCCTCCTAATGTTGATTAAATTAGTTTCAGAATCAGCCATATAACTAGATTGGCCTGGACAATGAACAGGTACATAGCTTTCCTTACCTGAGGTTCATGTCCCCTCTCAGTGCCAGGCTAAAGATGTTGGAGAGGTTTCCCCCTGGGCAGCAGCCACAGATGAGGATGGCCAGGGATTCTGAGGTGCCCACCTGGAAGAGCTTGCCCAGTACAAATGCTGTCAAGGGCATGATACTGTACTGAGCCAATATGGCTATTGCCACACCTTTAGGTCTCCTGAGGTGAGTTGTGATCTTGGCTATCTCCATTGTACATCCCAGAGACAGCATGATGACAAGGAGGACAGTGATAAGGATTACATTCAGGGCTGTGTCCATAATCTGCTGTCCAAATGCAAAGGGTGGTGCCAGACTGGTCAGGGAGGTGCTACTCTGCGTGCAACCTGGGCTCCAAAGTTCTGGGCTATCAAAAGCTCCCTTGGTCTTGTTCATCCTGCTGAGGGGTTTGGAGGTCCCTTCTTCTGTAAGTGAGGTGAGAGAAGGATTGATTCAGAAGTCCAAATAAAATTAAATTAATGGAAGCAAAACATGAGCTCTCTTTCAGGACGCCAATCTTAGCCTTCAGCACCAGCTGAAACAGAAATCTGTATTTAGAGCAATCAGCTGTGAATCCCATTTATTCTGGAAATATCCTGTGCAGTTTGTGTATCTTCTGCTCTGGTCCTCCACTTCTTCCAGCATCCACCCTCACAATGAGACAGCTGGTGAGAGCAAGAGGGAGACAGCTCAAGGTGGGTAGAGAAGACAGGTAAAGATTGCACTTCATACAAATGAAAATGAACCAGAGCTGCTCTCATTCACAAGACACAAGATACTGCTGAGGCCAATACTTGAAAACATGATGCATTAAATACTTTGTTTTAATAAAATACATATTCTTCTGGCCATAAATAAAGCTTTTGATAGTGAGGTCTAGGAAGATATTACAACGTCGATGAGTAATTTCTCTAGTAAATTCTTAGGGGTCTTCATGTCTCTTTTCCTGATGTGCTGAATCTGACACTGTCTAGAAATTTTTTTGTTGCATATAGGAATTAATTCTCCAAGCCTTACTGACATTGAAAATATTATTCCCTTGGCACTGATGGAAGGTTCTGCATGGTAGGTATCTCAACTAACCTCTGCAGTGCAAGGCTGGGCCCCATGGGCACAGCAGTGCTGCATTCAGGACTTGGGGTATTCTGCATTGTGATCCAGCCAGGGCTGCAGACATCATGCAAACTTTCCAAGCAATGCCAAACAGTTCCCCACCCCAGACTGGTACCTGCCCTGTGCTTTCCATGCAAGGCTGCACGGCATGGCATGCACTCAGTCCTCTGGTGTTCCGGGAAGCAGGGCCTGGGCAGCTGGTGCTGGGGCAGGAAGAGGGACTGGTAAGGTGGTTGATCCTCCAGCTTCTGCAAGGGTGACTGCTGCTCATCCTGCCACTGCTCCCTGTCCCTGGCTGTAACAGGGGATGTGCTTCCCTACACCTGCCGCACCCTCAGGTGCCATAATTCCTGATCCCTCGGCAGGTTTTGCCTTCATTTAAGGCATTTATTGCCTTCAGATTGACCTGAGCCATCCCCTAGGTGAAGGGAGACACTCTAGAAAGAGCTGAGCATGTTAAACGAGAGCAAAATGCCTGCTGTTACCTTAGTGCCGGTGGATGTGGCTGTAGGAAGCTTTGGCAGATCACCCGCTGCTCCGTCCTTTCCTGGCTGGTCTTGGTGAGCGGCAGTACTCTTCAGTCCTCCTGCTTCAAGAAAATCCCCCTTGGTAAAATCCCATCCTCTGCTTGCAGGATATAAAGCCTGGGTCTAAAAGAGCCTCACAGAGAGGGAAGTTGCTCTTCTTTGGTAGTTGTACTAACAGGACTGGGGAAGGGATTTTAACCGGGGAGATTTGCTGCACTATGGCTGAGCTCTAATTCCTTTGCTGAAGGCTATTACGATGCTGCAGTAGCATGTCCATTGCTTCTATTCATCTGGGAGCTCACCAGGCCCAGCCTCTTCAGCCCTATTGCTCTGGAAACATTGCTGGAGGCAGGCAGGAATGTCAGAGCTGTTCTCCGTGTTCCTCCCCACTTGCTCTTGCTTTGGTTGGGAACTTTGTTTTCCAGGCTGGCAGCCAGGCCGGAAAAGCACCAACAACAGCTCAGGAGGCCAGCACAAGCATCCCCATCGGGTGGGAAGGAGCAGTGCCTGTGGCTCTCAGTGGCACTGCACATCCATGCCAATGGCTTTTCCTAGACCTTTGTGAGCACCACACTGCCATTCCTGGGGACAAGGGGCCCTCCAGTAAGTCACAGGCGGTGCTTTGAGCCCGTGTCACTGTGGTGGCACAGTAGTGCCTTGGCTCGCTGCTGGGCTCTGGCTGAGCAGGTGGGGTGAGGAGGCCTGCAGCACTGTGTGCATTTTGATTTTCTGTAGGCATCTGCAAGACTACCAGGCACTAGCAAGGGCTGCCCAAGTAGCACATGGGCAAGAATTAAGATAAAGTGCAGGAGCAAAGCCCACAGCAATTCTTTAACTCTATCCCTTTCCTCAGGATTTTTCCCCTGTGAATCCCCAGCCTTCCTAAATAAATGCTTGTTTTTCACCATGTTTGCCTTTCCACTGTGTGCTGAATTTTGTAAGAAACACAAAAAGAGTCAAGCCAAACAACAAAGTACTTATAAAGTGCTACTGCCTCAGCAGCACCTCCTCTTCCCCTAAACTCAGTGTAGCTCAGGTTTTTAAAATGACAATGTTCTCACCCTTTTCAGGACTGTAGAAGAATGTTTAAATGACTCTAATAATTTAAAAAAATGCCTGCTAGTTGTTCATCGTTCAAGCATTACTACTGGTTCCTGGTAGTTAATAGAGGAAACATCACAGGGGCCAAGGAAGAGACCAGTTGAAGAAAGCAGAGTAAATTAGGATCATTATTTCACCCTGGTTCATGCTTGGACATTTACTTATTTGACGTGGGCAGCAGAGCCGGGAGTTTGCATTTAAGTGTGGCCAAGGAGCTGTATCTCAGCGACAAAGCTGCCGCTGCCCGCGGCAGGACCTGGGCGGTGGGATGGCTGAGGGAAGGCTGCAGGAAGCAGTGCGCTCCCACTGCGAGGGCGGCGGGACCTGGAGCCCGAGTGCCGGCCTTGCTTCAGGGGGGCCCCTGGGCAAGGCGCCTTCAGGGGAGCCTTTTCCTTCCTTTGGCCACTCCCTGGAAGGGCGCAGCTCCTGAAAGGTAAACTCCCAGGTGCCCTTACAGCCCTGTTCGCCTTTCAGTGCCAGCTGAGGGGAGCTGCAGCAGCCGGGCCCGGCGCAGCGCTGGCCCCGGCCTGGCCCCGGAGCCGCGGCGGGTCCTGCCCGGCCGGGGCCGCTGGAGGGCAGTGGTCGCATGCCCGGCGAGGGGAGCACGCAGCCCAAAAACTGCTGCCATCGCCTTTACGGGCTGAGATGCTCCAAACTCACAGGTACGGTCTAATGCGGCAGGCATCAAGCTATGCTCAGCAAGCCGGAGGCATTGAAGGAAGTGCTTAAAAAAAGAATAAGAAAATGTATACGACTGTATTGCAGACTTCCTGTTGGAGCTCAAAATGAGCTCTGTTGTGGATTTATTTTTTTTTTTTGGAAGGAGTTAGTGCTTCATGTTTTCATAATGCAGCTTCATAAATTCATCTGATAAATACAAAATGGCTTATGTGCCTCTTTCAGTGGTGGGAGGCTGAAGTCCAATTTCTTAGTTTGCAGCTGAGATCATCATCTCTCCTGTGTTTTTGCAGAATTTAACATAACCTGAGCTCAGTCCAGTGGCTGCCCAAAGGCCCTGTTTCAGCAGATGTGCCTGGCAGGAGCAGCGGTGCTTGATTTATGTCAGATTTCACGCTGTTGGCCCACAATACAAGATGTATCTTTGACCTCTGGTGCCTACATTTTGCTCAGGTAAGAGTTGTGAAAACAGTGAGAACTGTACTGTTATGTGCTTGGCTAATCAGTTTGCTCTTTTCTGTGTGATTTTGAGGCACTTTGCTCACCAGAGCCCTGCCCACATACGGGCACTATGCTGGAGTGGGAATGGAACAAGGAGAGCTTCTGCAGAGACAATCATGGCTTGTCATGACTTGTTCCAGCTGTGGCTGAGGGCTTCATCCCAGCTGGAGACCCAGGATGGTCTCAGCACTGTCAGCCAGAGCATGCCCCAGTTGGCCAGCAGTGAAAAAGAAGCTTGCTCTGATGCCTCTTCTCTGTCAGATTATTTTAAATTTGAGTTTGCTGGGCACGTAGGCATTGTTTATACCCTGAGCAGTGTAGGAAACTCTGTAGAAAGAAATGCTGCCCCTGAGAGTGTGAGGTGCTTCAGTCATTTAGACCAACATTTCTATCATACCAGTGTTGAATATTCCCTCTCAATTTCTAGAGCGAGGCTTTCCACCAGCACTGGGAAATACCTAAGGACCTTGGTGTGTGGGAAGGGTCTTACCATCTTTCCAGTGGTGATACTACCCTGTCTCCAGACAGAGAGCTCTGGAGAAGGCTGGGAAATACCTAAGGACCTTGGTGTGTGGGAAGGGTCTTACCCCATCTTTCCAGTGGTGATACTACCCTAGATTTTAAATTACTCCAGACAGAGAGCTCTGGAGAAGTATTATGTTTATGTAGGAAAGCCCAGGTTGCTATGGATTTCTAGCTGCTGTGATAGATTTTCTGTTTCCCTGAGGAACCTGTAGCAGTGGCCAATATGATGGTACATGGCAAAGACTGTTGTCCCTTGGTGGGAAGCAAGCTGCAGGTCTGGGGCAGAAACTCCCCTGCTGATGAGTTGAGGGGAGCACTGGGGGCACCCCATATTCCCAGGTACAAAGGATGTCTCTGTTTTTCCTACCTCTGCCTGCAGGAAGAGTGTCAGTGTGGTGTTGAAGCAGGTTCACCTCAAGGGCAGTTTTTTTATGAAAAACTCTACAGAAGGAAGTCTGTTCATGTCTGTGATGTCTGTTTTTCTCTGTAGGAAGAGATATTTTTATTGTCCATTGTAGTTAGTTATTTACTATGCAATCAGTGGGTCTAGTTAATCTTGAATGTTGCATTTCTTTAGGGACCAGATGTCAAAGACGGCTTCAGAAAAATTGGACAGCTTAAGTTTTCTTGCAACTTTGATAAAAAGCTGTCAGCAGGACATTTCCCTAAACCTGTCTCCAATCTGTATAGCCTTGACTATTGCTCTTAGCTTCAGAGGAGAAATGAACATTGGCTACTGTTCTTTGACCTTTGCAGGGTGATAACTTTAGAGAAAATTCTGTGTTCTCTCTGACTCATGTGAGAAGCCTCTTTGGCATGATCTCGTGAGAGCTGCTGTGGGCAGCAGAAGGTTGCCCAGTTGTTTGCCTAACTTCCAGCTGTGGATGCTGTACACCTACAGAAGGCAATTGCACCTTCAGCTGAGGCGAGTGTGCTTATTTTGTATCAAAGCTTATATTTTAAATAATTTCATTCGGTAGGCTGTGCTCAAGTTCCAACGTCATAGCTTTAAACTGCTCAACTAGTGACATGCACTAATCCTTCTTCCTGCATAATGAATATGAAGATTTAATACAGGAGATGGTTAGGAAAATGGCAAGTAAGAAATAAGGTGTTCAGGAATAGCCAAGGATTAACAAAAGCGTCTGAGACTCTTATGCATGCACAGAAAGGCTGGTGTGAAAGCCTGGCTGCCATAGAACACTCACTGGGGTGTCCTGAGGGATCCAGCCCAAGGGAGAACCCCGAGTGGGCATGGAGGACAGCAGGGATTCACAAGGCAGCACCATAGCTAAGGGGCACCTGAAACCACCTCCACAAGGATGTTTGAAGCCTGGATTGTCCTGGACTGCTGGCCAAGCTCTTGTGATCCGCAGTCCATCAGCAGAGAAATCATAAATAAGTATCTGTGTGTTCAGCAGCACTTGGATATGGGGACCTGTTTGTTTACAGCATGAGCTCTGTGAGTGCTCAGTGCCGTGGCTATGCCACTGCTTTTTAGTCTGGATTTGTGCACTCCATTTACTTTGTTCCCTTTTTCTTCAACTTGTACTTGTTGTGACTGGACCCTGATTCAGTCTGAAGAGGCAGGATGTGCAGAGTTTATGGTCTTCACTTGCAGGGCAAGAGAGCTGAACTTATTTCCTTGCTTAGCATTGTGCTGTAAGATGCAGGCAAGCCAATTTCTGCCTCTCTTCCACCATCCTGCTAAAACCCCGTTACTGCCTGCCTGGACTGAGCTATTGGCTTTTTTGCATGGTGCAGATGTGCCACAAATATTTCAAGAGGACTGTTGAAAACCCTTTGCTTATTTGTGTACTTTACCCATCTGCCATCTTTGGCAGCTCCTTAGGCCTATGTGGGCTGAGGTCTGTCTAGAACAGCAGCTTCTGGGTGGCTGGATCCCAGTTTGGATGCCAAACATATTCCTATTCCTCATGAATGTTTTGCTGAGTTTCTGGGCTGGTGGAAAGCTTGTGTAGTAGGCACTGCTGTGTTATTGGTATTCCTGTGGTCAGCCCCTGTGCTTGGGGCCTCTCCAGGCACCCAGGCAATGGCAAGCCAAACCCAGCAGCGCAGCGCTTTTGTCTTGCTTTAATTAATTAGTGTAGGACACAACTATTAGCAGAGTGTTTTTGTTTCCATTTGTTCATTCTGCCAGCAACCAAAGGAAGCCATTATCTCTGTGAGAGGATGTTTCAGCAAGTGTTATGGTAAATAAAGCTAACAGGATCAGTGCGAAGGAGAGGATCACATTCTCTTAAGGACAGCAATCGATAATCAGGCTGTTACATGCCAAATCCTTTCAACAGGCATGATAGCGAGTTCACACTCAGATCAGCCTTTAATCTTGGAGGATCACTGACCTCTTTGCTGGCTGATATATTTCCCACAGTCTACCTGCTCTGTGACACAGGTCTCCCTGTAAGACACGCAGCAGTTCTTTCAGCACCTTTGGACACAAGGAAAATAAGTTGATGGTGCCGACCTGCCCCTTTTGGCTGAGACGTTTCTGTATGGGTCAGGCTACAGATGGAAGGCCAGTCTGGGCTCGACACTGGATGATGTTTAACAGCCTTCCCTGCTCCATGAGCAGCAGCAGCATTGAGCAAACCATAGGGTCCTAGAAACTGTGTGCTCCTCAGGCCCCTAAGGCAGGCCGAGCAGCCTCAGTTTTAACTTTCCTGCAGCGCTTGGCTGCAAGCAACATTGTTATTGGAACCAAAATGACACTGAAGACCTGTTCTTCATGCTGACAAATAAAATACTTAAGCAATGTGATATTGGTTAAAACATCTTAACATTCTTTTGTGCAACCCTGGAGAAAAATGACGAGACTTATACTGCAGGGTGTTCATTCTTGAGATCTCCGTTGTTTCCTATACTCCTCATTTTAGTGTAAGTCTTTTGATCTTTGTTGTGTGGCGCAAAGGTGTGGACATTAGGTGAGCTACTCAATTTTAATTTATAAAAAAAAAAAATTTGTAGCCCTCAGGGATTTGCAGAAAAGTTTGAAAACATGATCATAAACTTCAGGAAGCCAGAGTGCAAGTAGGAAAAGCTCAAATGTTTATAATTTTCTGTAAAAAACAGAATAAAATGCCTTGCAATTTTAAAGCTGTGATTCTCTGGAGCCTGACACATAATTTTCCACTATGTGGAGTTGGCAGTGCTGGAAAGGATGCTTTTCTCTCCCCAGATCATATTTTTCTGCTGGGAATTTTAATTTCCAGCTTTAACTCTTTCTGCACCTTTTTCTTGGCCAGCCTCTCCTGCAGCTGAGGAGCCTCCCCCATATCCGGGGGCTTGGAAGGGCAGCCAAAGGTGGTGACAGCAACCAGGATTCCCCCAGTGGCAGGGGCTGGGCTGCCCTGCCTTGTTGTGTCTGGCCACATCCTTGAGACGTGCTGGGCAGCAAAACCTCTCCAAGGTCTTGCAGCCTGCTGTCCTGGTGGGGAAGGTGCAGGGAGCTCACCAGGGGCAGGAGCATCCCTTGTCCCCCTCTCAGTTGCAGCCAGGGTGTGAACAGCTTGGCTTGGAGAATTATCTCCCACCTGCAAAGCTTCCTGTAGGGATGTGATTTTCCCTGAGGACTCATGAAGGACAGGGGCTCTTTCCTCCAGGGGCTTGTTTGCACGGCTGGTGACTCCTCTGAGCAGGGCACAGAAAGGCATGGTGCCTTCCCAGAAATCCTGCAGGGATACAGTGACACTGCTGGGCTCTTCCCTCTGCTTCTCCCTTCCCAAGCCACCTCCCTTGGGCACTGCTCTTTCATATTTTTAGAAAGCACAGTTGATGTTTTTCAGCGCTGGCTTTGCACGTCAGCAGCCATTGCACAACGAGCTCTCAGGGGCCATTTATTTCACAAGCAAGGCTCATACCCTGTGACAGCATTTTCCGTCACCTCCTCAAGAGCACTCTGGGCTCTAGCTGCTTCAAAATGGCAGCTATTGTTCAGTGTCCCATGCCCTGCTTGAAACCAGGCCTCCCCCTGACACGTTTCAATAGCTCTTCTCTGTGATCTGTTTATCCCCCACGTGCTTTCAGGGGAAGTGGGGAAGGGCTCATTTCTGTTTTAGGGACCAATGCACCAACATGCTGCAAGCAGCCCCTTTCTCTGCCTCCCAGCTTTCTGAGCTAGTCCTAATTTAATCTAGTATGAGCCCCTTGCAGAGCTGGAGGATCTGGAGGCTGGCCATGCTCACTTTAGCAAGGTCTGTGCTGCATGGGCATGGACCAGCCCATCCTTTATAGAATGATGCCTGCAAAAGGGGAAGTTATTATTTGAATTTATTTAAAAAAAAAAAACAAAAAAAAAACCAGCCCTCTGGATAAAGGAGGGCAAAAATGAGCAGCACTTTATTTTTTAAAGCTAGAGGGCAACTGTGGAGACTGGGGAAGAAATTTATTACCTTTGGTAAGAGAATTGGAAGGACAAATAGAAAACTTCAGAGGCTACGGGCTGGCTGAGCAATGTCTGGATGCCCTCCCTCAATGGCTGGGCTTGGGGACTCTATGTTAATATGGTGCACCCATATTAACATTGCATATCCATCATTTCCCACAAAAATATCTTATTACACAGAGCTTGTTTCTCCACCCCTCTACTGTAAGCACCTGCGAATTGTGTGGGTCCTGTGGAACCAACCTTAACTAACCCGTGCCACCTCTAACTAATCTTTCAGGGCTGTTTTCACATTTTCCCAGCTGGGCTGAGTGCCCTTCCAAATTGTCAGCCTGGTGCCACCCACACTGGTTTGTATTCCCTTAGAAATACAGATGTAACTATTTCAATTACAAGAGACCTCAAAACCATAAATGTCTTCAAAGTTGTGAAGAATGCCCCAGTCTGGGACCACAATAATCCTGTCTTCCTAAATTTTTCCCTTTATATTTTCCTGAATTTGCCTGCATCTGATGCTTCAGCTGGAACAATGTATTCCATTCCATATGTACTTCCAGCATGTGCACATCTGCATGGCACACTACCTGCTTCCCCTGGCATGATGGCCACACTTCCAGACCATACCAGGACTCTTTTCTCTCACTAAAGCTTCTCTCTAGGAAACACTTATTTGATATTTCCTGTTCTTCCCTATATTTGCTCATCCAGTTTGAAAATAAGCTCTCCATAACCCAGGATGTTATTCGTGTTTGTTTTGGGCTGGTTCAGGGTTTTGCTAGCAAAGAGGGCACAATTCTTGCAGGTTCTTAGGACAATGTGCTTTATTTCAGGCACAAGCAAACCCATTGTGCGTTGCATGTGCAGCAGTGCATTCACCCACAGAGGTATATAAAGGGTAATGATAATGCTGCCCAGAAGGCTAACACATCAAAGGCCAAGGAGCAGTTAAAATGTATTATGAGCTGTTGGCAGTGATTGTGGGGGGTATTCGTGTGTTGCTGATTTGGACGGCCCGAGTAAATGAAAACCCTCTGGATTAATTGGTACACCAAAGAGATTGGAGGAAAATGGAGGCTGATGGAAAATGACAAACATGGGAAAACACAGATAGCTGGGTGCGCTGACCTGCTCTGGGGCACTGCTGATTAACTTGCAGCTCCCTACTGTGCCCTGGAAAGCCAGGCAGAGCTGGGGGTGCCCCGCCAGCAGCTCACCCAGCACTTTGGTGGAAGCAGACTGAGCCCCACAGGCAGCATCTGCAGTGCTGCTATTTCAGCACAGCCAAGTGGGTAGTTAGAGGTGAGACTTACCAGGTGTCTTGTGACACCTGGACACCACGGGACAAGAGTTTAATTACTTTTAATGATGTGCGGTGCTGGGGGAGGGAGAGGAGGCCGTATGGTGCCTGGTGTCACAGAGTAACTGAAGCTGGGAACTTCAAAATGGATTTGCCACGAGTCTGCTGGCTGAATGACAACCAGAATTGAATGATATGCTCCTATCTGTAGCTAGGATACCCATATCCCAACTACTCTTTTGTGGTTTATTACTGACACTTCAATTTTACATAAATGGCATCTAACACTGTAACCTAAAGTGTTACAGTGGCAGCCATACAAACTCCAATTGTACCAGCTCAGTCGCAAGCTAATTTAGCAGCTGGAGCAGGAGCACTCAATGCAGCACCAGGTAAGTCACACCCTTACAGACCACCTGCCTAGTGATTGGGGCAGTATCCTCATGCTGAAGATGGTGGTCAGCTGGGGGTCTTTCATACATCCACACTGGGGCTACAAAAGAGTGTCCCTGTCTTCTTTCTGATCAGCAGCTGTGTTCAACAATGAGTTTCTAAAATAATTGTGCCTAAGCCAACCTGCCACAACTTGTGCTGGTATCAGTGATCTCTCATCTGGACATCATGGCTCATCCTGCTAGGTACTTCTGTCTTACCATGGTCTGACCTACTCATTGCTGACTCTGGTAGAGACACTTTTTTACTGCTAGTCTTGACGGGACACCTCCAGTTTGGGTGGTTTTCTGTTCCATTCTACCAGTTCCTCCTGCAGCTCAGGAGTTTGTTTCATTCCTGTACTCAACTCCGCACTTTGCATATTTCTCTCTTGCAGACTTGAGGAATCCTTATCACAGGAAGAAAAGCACAGAAGGTGATGTGCCTCTGGTCATCTGGTGATTTGCAAGGTCTCGTTCTTCTCTCATTATCATTTCAGGGCATGGAAGAGGGGAAGAAAGAGGCTGCTCTAACTGGCAGGTTCTCCCAACCATGTGTCCTTCCAGCAGCTATGTGGGTGTCATGGGGATTGAAGGTAAAATTCCAGAGGGGTCTTTCTCTGTCCTTTTCCTAAATATAGTTATAAGAAAACTAGTCAAGTCAAGTTACCAGAAAGACAGAGAAGGAAAGTGTGTTGCTGTATGCACAGGTAGGATTGCTCCTTTTGCCAGGACCTTGACCCAAGCCTGTCAGGCTCCTGTCTTTTCTCCCAGCTCATTGTCACAGATTATTTAAAACATGGCCCAGCTCTGCAGCCTCTGTCAGTACCCATCCCACTGTCCTTCTGCTGGCAGTCCCCTCTTCTGTGGGTGTTACAGGAAAAAATCTTGCCTTCTACTTGTGTCGGGGGGCATTGTAGCAGGGTGGGAGAACACATTTTTAGTATAGTGAGGCCATGAGAATGAGCATCACCAACTTTTTGTCTGACATAATTCTGAAATATTCCTTGCTTTTCCCATAAATCCAAGACATATATAAAGAATCTGTTTTCAGTCTTGAAACTGAAGTCAAGCATCAATTTTAAAATCTATTTTTAAAGCAAATAGCATTGTAATTTATAATGTTAAACTTAAATTTTTTAAGTGCTCTCATCCTTGGAAAAAATAGAACACTTCATTTTTTGGTGACAAATGATGAAGTGTTTTCTAAAGGTGACTAAGCATAGCACAAAATGTCCTAAATATATTTATTAGCTTATCAAATGTAATTAATTGAATTTGGTTGCTAATGGCTATGACTTTGTAAGTGAAAAGCACTTTTGGTTAGCTAGACAGTTTCTTATCAAAGAACAAAAAGCCAACATTAAAACATATGCAGCTTACTGAATAATCATGTTATTTGTCAGACAAGCAGAAGTATCATCACTGAAGTGTTCCCAAATGCCAAATTGGATAATACACATAATTAGGCCCCATTTGATTAGATATGTGCCCATGGTAACAGCCACACTCAAGATCCATATATTAGTACAGTCTTGAAATAATTTTCAAGGGGAATGATGGCAACATCTGAAGCTTCACTGAGGAGACTTTTGGAACCTAACCTATGCACCAATTTTCTCTGTTCCTGTGGTTATTCTTTGTCTTATTATCTTCTATTTTTAAAACAATGCATACCTTGGTTCTCAAAGGGGATATACTGCTTCCTTGAAGTGTCAGTACACTTCTGTCCCTACAAGGAAGATCTCTTACTCATCTTTATCGCATAAAGCCTAAAACCTTCCTATATTTAGGAATGAAACCCAGCAATTGGCAAGGCTGCTGCAAGCTGTTTCTAGGAGGTGGCAACAATCATCACCTGGAAGGCAGCCCATCTCAGATCCACCGTCCAGCCCGGGACAGCCCGTGATGGATAAAGTCTTCTGCATGTTCTTTTAGCCTTTTGCAGGAGCCTTATGAAGAAACTGCAAAGTCTCAGCAAGAAACTGATTTTGCATCAGATACAATCCTCAGAGAGCCTGTAAGCCCTGAGCTACTGCCAACCCACAGGGAAAGAGTCCAGAGGGTACTGTTTGGGCAACCATGGAGTGCAAGAGAGTGTTCAGCTGTAGATGCAGTATGAATTGTCCCTGCAGTTTATTTTTACATGCTTAGAGGGTGAATGAGTTTGGAAGTGTTGGAGAGAATCAGATAATTAGCAGAATGAAATATTATTATGTGTTATTTATAAAAAAAGAGAGAAATATATCTCCTGGTGTAACACTGTATGTCCAGGGATGGTGATAGGTGCCGCTTTTGCAGAAATGCCAGCTGGGAAATATTTAAAAGAAGGTTTTTTCCCTCAATAAGGAAGAGACCAAGATATAGAAAATTCCCCCAGGTGAAGGTACCAGGGAATGACTGGTCTATAGCAGGGAAACTGAGGCAATGGGTGCTGAGAGTCTGGCAGGAGAGGAGCTTAGAGTCTCAGTCCTGGCCAGTTTGGTCTAGAGGGCTAAGGTGTATGTGGCTAATCTGGCCATGTCAGCTGTCCCACCAATGCAAGAGAGCCACAGTGGACCCCTTACAGTGTCCTCAGGTGATAGGAGCAAGACAGGACCTGGCACCAGGAGACTCTGAAGATATGTCATGGAGAGGAAGTCAACACTGAAAGACTGTGAAAAATAAATGTACAAATATGTTTTAGAATGCATTACAGCTTTTAGAAAGAAGAAGGCTATCCTAAGCAAATGGGAAACAGAACAGCTAAAAAGCTTTGGTGGGCAGAGAGGGAGCACAAGGGAAGATTTTATTCCCTGGTTTAGCTGTTACTTGGCACAGAGGACTCCTGGGAGCACTTCCTCTAAGGGGCCAGTGACACAGCCAGCCATAGATGTGGCCCTCAGCTGGACAGCAAGAGCACTGTAGGAGAGTCCATACAAAGTCATCAAACTGTTACTGGATGCTGCGTTAGGATTACGCTTACTGAGGTGAAAGTAGATACATGGATCCACCTTGGGCATGCAGTGAATGATTAGGAGCATGTCATCTTTCTCCATATTAGCGTGTTCTTAATTATGCTCAGGGGAGGGGATCCTCAGCAATATAAATTTAACATCACAGGTCTGATGTTAATTTCAGCTGAAGCTGTGAAATTCCTACACCCTTCCCTCTTGTTTTTAAGTACATGCTGGTTTTAACACTTGTTCCCAAAACAGGCGATTATTCAAACCAGTTTCTTGTTATTCACATCAGCACCAAACTATGAGGTCTGAAATTAGTCAGACCAAACCCTGGCACTGCCCTGGAGGAGAGCAGGAGGACTCTAAACTGGGTTGTGTGTGAGCCCTGTGGTGATGGTAGAGATGGCTGTGCCAGCCCTAAACACCCTGTTTAAAGGTACCTTGTGGACAGCCACCACCTGTGTTTGACAGTGCACTTGTACTGAATATGCCCAGGCATTTGGGACCTCCTAAAGACTGAAGGATATTCTCTGATCACGGGGCTGGTTGTCTGGCAGCTCTTTGGTGGTGAAACCAGCCCTGAGAGAGTCCTGGGGGTGCCACTGAAAGGCATGGTGGATGTGCTGTGTGTGGGAGTGACAGTGCTCACACACACATGCATGTACAGGCAGTACTGGTCCCTCCTGTGATAAATGGCTCTAACTACAGCTTTACGAAATTTTGAATTTCTGTTTTTCAGAACAGAACATACTGGGGCAAAAATTAGGAAAAATTGTTTCCTGGAATTATAACAGTCATGTTTAGAAATGTTTCCCTGTTCTGTTTTGACATTTTTTTGGATCAAAGTGAAGCATTTTGACATTTCTGAGGTAGGAATGTTTTGTTTCAATTTGTTGAACTGACATGAAATATTTAGTTTCAAGTCTGCTTAACATTAAAATCGGCAGTGCCTTTCCTTGGGTTTGGGTCCCATTCTCTCCTCTGGGCTGTGCTCTTGGGAGCTCTGCCCGGCTCCCATAAAGCTTGGGCAAGGTCCACGGTGTTCTCAGTGAGTGCCCAGCCACAAGCCCCATGCACAGGGAAAAAAAAAAAAAAAAAAAAAAAAAGGCCTTTTTGGGAAAGTTCCTTTCCATGCTGAACTCGGCTGAAATGAAAAAAATTGTGGCAGTTGAAGCAAAGTGCTTGGTTCCAGTTCACTGCGACAAAACATCATTTCTTGTCAGCAGCATCCCTGTATTCCCACAGGCACTTTGTGTGTTGCAGAAACTGTTAGGTGTTGATGTGATCTACACCAATAAGCTCCAGAAGGTCTGCAGGCTGGATGTAGTGGAGGAGCTGCCCTTTAGTGTTGGTTCAGCAGATTTCCCAACAAGCTAAAAACCCATTTGCCTGCTTGGGGGCTGGCTGGGGCAGCCTCTGGTCCCCAAGGGAGGTGAGGAGGCTGCAATAGGGACAGGAGTGTCTCCTGGGAATTCAGCAGACTCTGCTCTTTTCTGCAGGTGGGTCTAAGGTCTTCCTGGGATTTCTGATGAAATTTATGTAAAAGTCAGTTCAGAAGTTTCTTTGGTTCATTCTCAACAGCTCTTTATAGGATGAAGCAGATCCTACTACTTACTGTGAGGGATAATTGAACTCCTTGCCCTCCCCCTTTCCTGGGCAACAGCTTCAAAAGATCTCTGATTTTGCTCACCAGTCAAGCAATCTCATTTGCAAAACAACTGCAAGGGCCCTGCAAAAGCAGAAGGACAGCTCCTTTGTTAAAGAGTGCTTTTTGGTGACACAAAGGAATCATAAAGGTGATGGAGCTGCAGACTGGACAGCCACGTTTCCTGGACTGTGCAGGCTGGCCTCCCTCCCCCTCCCAGCTGAAATTTCAGACCCCGAGTCTAAGGATTATGCAAGGCTCGAGCCCAGTGAGAACAAGATGCACTGCAACTATTCTTAGCTCCAGAAATTATTCCTGGCTCTGCTTTGAAATCTGAACCAGGGTTAATTTCTCTCCCCCTTCCCCCGGCCTGTTTCCTCTCCTCTTTCATGTACCTATTTGCATAGACTGTCATCGTTAGAATTTCCATTAAAATTGAAAGCCTCCTTCCTGCATGTCACCTCTCGCAGCCCCCTTCCGCTTGCCCTGTGTGACTTTTGGAGGGCTGGAGAGCAAAGGTCCTGTGCTAGCATCGCCTCTGAGCCCTGCCTTCCCCCTGCCCTCAGTCCTGCTCCTCTGTTGCTATAGGAACATCCATCAACTTGGGAGTGCCAGAGAAAAAGAACAGAGAGTTATCTTAATTATTTAATGATTGATTAATATATGTTTATAGAGCACTTCAAAACAGTGCATAATTTTGTGAATTGTTTATTATCTGGGCAAGTAGTATCATTTGCTGAACATTCTCCACACTCATTGTTTCAATGGGAGGAAAGGGCGGTAGACAGCTTGCAGGTTTTGTAACAGTTATATTACTAAGAGTACTAGTAGTTCTGCTTCAGGAAAATAATTTAAATCAAGAGCCTTCAGCTCAAGTTTTCATAGTCAGGGCTGCTCTCAACACCTGCCATTAAGGTTACTCAAACACCTCCATTATAAAGACCTATGTTCAGCTGTTCTTTGGCAAGTTTCACCCACCTGGAAAGAAGGATTGAGTTTACGTCTCCTA